TTTTAATTTCTTGCATTTTTATAAGTTTTTAATTTTCATGCCTAGCTTAATATCAAATCCAACCCCCCCCCCTTTTCGTATTTATTTTATTTGTTCGTTCTTGTACTTGAATTTAGTGGCTATAACAAGTTAAAACTGAGTCTCTATGGATACGACCCGACTTACCGCTATTACAATTTTTGTTGTAATTAGCCAATAGTTGGAATATTTTTTTATTTGGTGGACTCGGCATCCGTCAAATTTTTGGCGCCGCTGCCGGGGACTTGGTATTCTAACGGTTTATGCCTAGATCTTCTCGTACAGGTTCACCTTTGTCACTTGACTTGGAAATCGAACGGACTGCGAAAAAACTAAGGAAACAAGCCAAGCTTCGAAAGAAGTTAGGTGAGGGAACTTCGTCACCTGGGTTAAATATCTGGCAAGATATTGACCTATCTAGCGATTCGGAAAAGGAAGAAGAAAAACTAGAAGTCAAGATGGCTGTTGAAGGAGAGGAGCAGACTCTCCGACAACTCGCGACACAAGATGTCACTCAAGTGCCTATATGCATAAGGTATCCGGCAGGTAACACCGAATTTATACTTAAAACCGGATTAGTSCATCTTTTACCCACTTACTATGGTTTAGAAAACGAAGACCCGAATAAGCATTTAAAAGAATTCCATGTGGTTTGCCTAAGCATGAAACCTAATAATGTTTCCGAGGACCTAATAAAGTTAAAGGCATTCCCTTTTTCTTTAAAGGACCGTGCTAAAGACTGGCTCTATTCGCTACCGCCCGGTACGGTAACGACGTGGAATGCGATGGCAAGATTATTTCTTGACAAATTTTTTCATGCTTCCCGAGCCGCTAGTCTTCGTAGGGAAATTTGTGGCATCAAACAGAGAGATGTCGAAACTCTCCACGAGTATTGGGAGAGATTCAAGCATCTCTGTGTGAGTTGCCCACAACATGGAATTTCCGAACAATTGCTTTTGCAATACTTTTATGAGGGTCTTTTGCCTATGGAACGTAAGATGATTGATGGTGCGAGTGGTGGGGCCATTTTCAATAAAACGCCAAATCAGGTAAGGGCTCTAATCTCCACAATGGCTGAAAATTCTCAGCATTTTAGTGTTCGAGGCGATATGAGGAGAGAGCCCCAAAAGGTAAATGAGGTAAATACCGCTAGCATTGAGAGTAAATTATTTGATTTGACTAACCTTGTTAAGCAGTTAGTTGTTGGGAAAGAGCAGGTAAAGGCATGTGGAATTTGCAACGGGGTGAACCATCCTACGGACGCGTGTCCACAATTACAAGAAGATGTCTTGGTTACACCCGAAGACGTTAATGCCATTGGAGGTTTTCCGAACCAACAACCACCACAAAGGTTCTATAATTCAAACTTTGGTGCCCAAAGACCTCCACAACAATATCAACAAAGGCAATTCCAGTAGCCTTTCCAACAAAAGATGCAATTTCAGCCTAACAACCAAGCCTCAAGCAATTCAGGTATGTCTTTAGAAGATATTGTTAAGTCTCTTGCAACTAACACCCAACAATTTCAACAGGAGACAAGAACAAATATTCATAACTTGGTGGTCCAACACAAGAACTTGGAGGCTCAAATCGGTCGAATGGAAGTTTCACTTAATCGTATCGAAAATCAAGGTAAGTTACCGTCCCAAACTGAACAACCTCCGAAAGCTAATGTTAGTGCTATTACATTGCGAAACAGGATAGTACCAGATCCCGAGCCTAAAAAGAAGAGTGCACRGAATGAAGAGAAAGAGGCCGAGATTGTTGGGGCCAAACCAAGTGAGAAGAAAGTTGAGGACAAGACTGATGAGGACAAAAGAGCAACGCCCGAAGTGGTCATMCGACCACCATTTCCAAAGAGGTTTGAGCAGTCAAAGAAGGAGCAAGAAGATAAAGAGATATTGGAAACTTTTYGCCGTGTTGAGGTAAACATTCCACTCCTAGATGCTATAAAAAGAATACCTCGTTATGCGAAGTTTTTRAAGGAATTGTGCACAAACAAGAAGAAGTTATTTGGGAATGAGAAGGTAAGCATGGGAGAGAACGTCTCTGCTGTTCTACAAGGAGTCAAGATGCCCGAAAAATGCAAGGACCCAGGTATGTTTACTATACCTTGCAATATAGGAAATGTTTCGTTTGATAAAGCCATGCTAGATTTAGGGGCGTCTATAAATGTCATGCCTTACTCAGTTTATTCGTCAATGAATATGGGACCTCTTGAGAAAACGGGAGTTATTATACAACTCGCCAATAGGTCTATTGTATATCCCAAAGGAGTCGTTGA